GGAGCAAGGCCTTGGGGACGAGACTCTGAGCGCGAGGCTCTCTCTGGGAGAAGGGGTGATAAGTGACCCTCCTCCCCTCCCCGGATACTGAGTGACTGCGAGGGAACTGCAGACGGGTGTTTTCTGGGCAAGCGCGCCCCTGCCCCGGGAGGGAGTGGGTGCGAACAGCTCCCTACACCCATGGGCTCTTGTGCACATGTGACCACGGGAAGGGGTGCAGGAGCTGGGTGTCCCTGGCCACCTACTTGCATTTGGCTTCCTTGCCCTCAGGGTGTCCCAGAGTCTGGCTGGCTCAGAAGGGGTTAAGATGCTCCTATGCAAATTAGATGTAATTAATCCTTTTCATCAGTTGCAAATATACCTTCTGAACCCTATTAAAAACATGAATATGCAAATGCAGACCTTTTTAAATTCTCATTTTCAAGGACTTGGCGTTGGGGTTTGATTAGTGAATTCCGTTAACAGCCTGTAAACCTGGTGCAAAATTTAATTTCCATTTTAAGTTTGAAAAAAACACATGGAGGCTGTTGGTAACTGGACTGAGCACAGCGTCACACGGAGGAGGCCCCACGAGCCACCAGGTGGAGGCGCAGGGGCCCCGCGGTGGCCTCACAGCCCTCCTGGCAGCTCCTGCCGGCAGTGGCTTTTCTGGGACGAGGGAGACCGCACCTGGCTGGCCGCTGGTGCCCAGGTCGCCGAGTGTGCTGCCTGGATCCACCCCGGGGAAGAAGGGGACCTCCTGGCGGAGGGGACTGTCCCCGCCCTTCAGGCCCGCTGTGGCCTCTTTGTGGGAACACGCTCACCGCTTCCTGGCTCTCATCATGACCCCCCCACCCCGCCCTGGTGACTCGCTGAGATGGCCGCCTAGTCAGAGAGATGACGTGGCTGGCAGTGCCTGAACATGCACGTGGGCGCGAGCACTGAGTGGTCCAGGGACCCTCAGTGGACAAGGCCTCCCTCGGTGCCGGTACCCTGGAGGAGTCTTGTCCCCTACAGTGGCCGGGGGCCACGTGGGCTACTCAGCACTCACAGTGTGGCTGGTCTGAAGCGAGGGGGCAGCGGGCGTAGAATAGGACACTGGACTCGGAGCCAAAAGATGGCGAGGTGGACGCGCCAATTATTTGTGTTGATTACACGTTACGATAAAGTTTGGGACGTAGAGGGTTAAATAAAATGCATTGACATTGATTTCACCTGCTCATTTAGTTGTGGCCACTAAAAACACCACCTTGCTCAGCGCCGTCGCACACGGACTTGTCCAGACCGATGAAAACACGTCGTCTGTGCTCCGCGTGGCTGTTGCGAGTCAGACCGCGCTCAGGGCGGCGGTCAGGGCCACAAGGGGCAAAGCCGGCCCCCGGTGGGAGCCTGCCATCAGCTCGGGCGCAGCGTGGGGCCCACGGACCTGGCAGCTTGGGCAGCAGATCTGTCGCCTTGCGTCCTGGAGGCTGGGAGTCCGAGAGCAAGGTGTCAGCTTCTCGTGGGGCCTGCCCTTGGGGTGTGGACGGCTGTCTCCTCCTTGTGTCCCTCTGCGTGCGTCCCAATTTCCTCTTATAAGGACACCAGTCCCATAGGGTCCAGCCCACGCCGATGACCTCATAGGTAACTTCGTCACCTCTATAGAGCCCCTGTCTTCACAGCCATCGCGTGCTGAGATTCTGGGGTCAGGGCTTCACCACATGAACTGGGGACAGTTCGGCTCACGGCAGAGGACAGGACAGGCAAGACGTGGGGGAAAACGCTCCCACTGGGGCCTCGGCGAGGTGGGCGGGGCCCCACCAAGGAGACCAGTTCTCAGAAATATTAACCAATTAGAAAGAAACCGGAAAAGCTCCTGCCCGGTCCTGAAAAGGTACAGTTGGAAAACGGAGCCGTGAGTGGAGCGAGGCCGGACTGTGAGAAAAGGTCCACGAGCGAGACGCTCGTGAGCCTGAATCCGGAACTCGGCGTTTTGTTTGTTTAGTTTTGGCTGTTGTTTGTTTTTTAAAGTAATGACCAAAATAGTTCAGAACTCTGGAAGTTCTGAGAGATGCTGTCAATTTTACTTTAAAATGAGAGTCTGGTGTTTCTTTAGGTTATTGTTTTCAATAAAACTTCTTAAGTGTTTGGAAATAAAAGCACAAAACCCAATGAAATACATCAGACGCTTTCATGGAAAACTTCCAAGACGGTTTTTGTGTGAGGGAGCCAAGCCGCAGAGCCCACGGTGCTTCTGAAACCCACACGAAACAAAGGGAACCAGACCTCGCACGGCGCTGGGTCCAAATGCTGGGCGTGTGAACGCGTCCGCAGATGCAGGAGGCCGGGACAGGGGCCAAAGGGGGGGGTGTTTCCTGTTTGTATTTCTATTGTTGGAGGGTTTTTCTTTTTACATTGAAAATGCATTAAAACTGTGCAGTTAGATAAAGAATGACAAGAAAATGTAAACAAGGCAGGCAGCGGCCCAGCGAGGAGTCTGCAGGAGGGTCCGTGCTGCCTGTGGCTGGCCCTCTTGGGCTGTGTGACCTTGGGCAAGGCCACACCCCTCTCTGGGCCTGAAGCAGTTTGGCAAAGCCACCTGTCCTCACTGTGCACGCATGTATGTACATGCATGTGACATACAGGCTATGCACACGCAGCCATGTACGTGCAGCTGCAAACATGCATGTGCGCTCACGCATGTCCACACGCAGTCCCACATTTACACACCTGCGCACACACACTGCAGGCACAAGCGCACGCGCTCCTGCCTGGGCGGCCTCCACTTCCACACCCCTGGACCTGAGTCTCCCTGCGAGGCTGTCCCCGGAGAGAGGCCCAGCCTGTCGTTGGCTCTGGGTCACTGAACTCCAGGCACGCGGGTCAAGTCCGGCCCAGAACTGGGGTGATGAGGGCCGTGAATTTGGTCAGGGGAGCTGGTCTGGGTCCAGGCCAGGCCTGACACACACGTGCATGTGACCTGGGACAAGTCCCTGCCCTTCTGGACCTCGGCTCCTCCCCCGACGAGACCCGGCTCACGGAATCATGATGAGACGGGGCGACCTCACAGCCCGCAGGGGCTTGGCACGTCGGAGTTTCAACCAGGTGAGAGCTTCGCAGACTTGACTGGGGACACGAGCTACCCGGGGTCATGTCACATGCAGTCTGGTTCAGGGGGCTTAGGAGGGGGGCCCGAGGACACGGGCCAAGGAGTCTAGTGCGTGCGAATCAGGGGCTCCCCAGCGAGCCGCCCCGTAGGCGCTGTGACAGCGAAGGCCCTGGTCCCTGGTCCACACTCTGAGTCGCGAGGGGCTGGAGAAAAGCCAGGATTCGTTCACTTTCAGGACACAAAGTGACAGCAGGCGCTGGATGGAGGAGGCCGGGCTCCCGCAGAGGCCCCAGCGGGCAGCACCGTCCTCCCTGGGAGCCTGGGGAGCCGCCAGGAGCCCTGTTGCACCAAATCCTGCTCCATCTTGGCAATTACGGTTCATTGTGGCGGCACTAATCCCTCACAATTAGTCATTAGCGGCTTAAGGACCACTTAGCACCAGCGTCACTAACGAGCTGGCAGACGTGGGGGTGTGCCAGAACCAGAACTTCCTGTGGCCCGTCTGCTCACCCAGGCTCCCCAAGCAACTTCATTCGATCGCCCCCGGCCAGCGGGAGGAGCTGAGTCAGCCCGGAGAAGTCAGGAGCGTGCGGTGGCCACGGTGGTCCCAGCTGTCTTTTTGGGAAGGGACGATCTGCCACTGTTGGCCTCTGGGCCTGCCCTCCATCAGCATGAGGTGGGTGGCCTGGACCTGGGGTTGGCTCCCCAGGGGGAGGGGCTTCGGAGGGGAAGGCGGGGCCTGGGGGCGGGGCCCTTGCAGGCAACCTGGCCAGGCTGCAAGCATCTCTGGGCCCCAAGGCCCCCTGAGTCTCCATCAGCTGTGCAGGGGCGGGGCGCAGGGCCTGGGTGAGCCGGAGCCTCCTGTCTGCACCTGGGACGAGGCACAGACCCCTGTGCTCTGTGAGCAGGTGGACCAGTCCTGCCCACCCTGTAGTGGCCTCGAAACTGCTGTCCAGCAGAGCCGTTGGGTCAGGGGGTCCGTGGCTGCTCCCACCGCCTCTGCTGAGCTTGGGCGGCAGGCTCCCTGAGCATGACACTCTGATGGCCGTGTGGCGGAGGCTCACTGTCCACTGACGTCTGGACTCGCCTTCCCCAAGGCTTCCGAGAGTCCACAGTGCAGCTGGGTGGTCGGTGAGGCTGCAGGCCACCTGTCCCCCATGCACACGGCACACGGCTGGGCCTCCACCCCAGGCCTGTGGGCCAAGACGCAGAGTCTGGAGCCCCCCGGTGGGCCACACTCTGGGCCTCTTCTGTTGGGGACCCCCTGTCCGTGAAGGAAGCCGCACCCCTGGGCCCCCCGAGCCCTGGACCAGGGGGTGCGAGGAGCAGTCTGCTTCGACTTCTGCCATGAACCCCACTCAGCCCGGGAGCCTGATCACGTGGAGGTGTGAGCTCAGGTCCCCAAGGCCCAAGTCCCAGCATTACAGGTGAGAGGACGGTGGTGCTGAGGTCACCCATGGGTGCCGGGACTTTGGGAGGCCCTCGCCCCATGAGAGACCAGCCAACCCTTGCTACCAGCACCCACTTCAAGGGCTTGGAATCGCCTCTCTGGGCAGCGCCGGCGGTCGCAGTGGGAGGGTCACCTGAGGTGGGAGTGAGCCTGTGCAGACTGCAGAGACCACCCCGCCCCCTCCCGCCCCGCACCCGGGTGAGTGGCCCGTGCCCCCTTGTCCCCCACGGCTCTCCTGGGCTTCGGAGTCAGACACAGTGAGCAGACAGGGTGGCCAAGAAGGGAACTTTATTTTGTCACAGGGTTTGGTCTGGTGGCCACAGGCCCACCTGCCAGGCGCCCAGCAAGGCCAGGGTTGAGCAGCCTGTGGTGGGGCTCCTGGGGGGGCAGCAGGGAGTGGGCCCACAGAGCACGGCCCCCAGGTCCTCGCCAGGCAGCTTTCCAGGAGAGAGGGGGTGGGGGCGCGGGGCCTGAGCTCAAGGGTGGGGCTCAGCCCCGGCTGGCAGAGGGGACCACGGGTCCCCATCCCTTCCTGATGCTGCTGCCTTTCTGGGCAGCGGGTGGGCGGGGCTGGGATGGCTGCCGAGGGTGGGGCCACGGGGGGGCCGCGGGCTAGGCCACGGTCTGGCGGCTGAAGAGGTCGAGGGTCAGGGCGCTGAGGAAGGCAGGGATGCTGTCTTGGGCCAGCAGGTGCAGCTGGACGAGCTCGGGCACCGAGCGTGAGAAGGCCGTCTCCAGCAGCTGCATGGTGGCGCCCGACGGTCCCGCGGCCTGCAGGGTGAGACACAGATGGCGGTCAGCGCTCCCTTCCCATGTCCCCCAGCAACGTGACAAGGAGAGGCAGGAGGCCCTGTGACTCCAGCGTCCCTTGGGGGGTCAGAGCTGAGTGTACAGGGACAGTCCTACCCCAACCACGGCTCCCCAGTGAGGTGGGCTGCCCCGGCCCAGGCACTTCGCAGCGGGCAAGGCCGTGTTCCCGGCCTCCCAGGTGGGGTGCAGGTCTCGCCCACGTTTCTGGAATCTGAGCACTGGATGTGGGGCGTGGCCTCCAGCTCACCAGCTCCTCCAGGTCCACGCCCATCCTCAGACCCCAGCCCGGTGACGAGGATGGCAGCGCGACAACCTGGGCGCCCGAGGCAGGCGCCATCCTGAGCACGCACAGGGGCTGCTGGGCCTGGTCTGGTCCCGTGTCACAGACGAAGGACGAGGTGACCGCTGAACCAAGTCCCCGCAACGGCAGCCAGAAGCGAGAACCCCCCGTGGCCCCCGCGGCCGGGACGCGTCCCGTGTGCCCTGCTGTGCAGCTGGGCTCAGGCCGGAGGCGGACACGCTCCTCCCAGCCCACGGAAGCCCCGCAAAGCGCTGTCACCAGACGGCACGTCCGACGAAGGACCCGCAGCCCGACACGCCTGCGAGTCTCACAGGCCGGCGAGAAGACACTCGACCCAACTGAAACGGACAGGTGTCCAGAGAAGACACGGGGATGGCCGAGGAGCGCGAGACGGCGTTCGGAGGCGCAGCTCACCCGGGACAGCCACCGTCCCCGACGAGGATGCCGCCAGGGGGCGCGGCCAGGACGTGGAGCCAGACGCTCTCGCGCTGCGAGGGAGGAGACGGCGCCCCCTGTGGGGACGGTCGGACGGGTCCTCAGATGCAAACCCCGCGGCCCAGGGACTCCGCTGCGGGGCGTCTGCCAGGGACGGAGCCGCCTTTCCACAGAGGCCAGACGTGGGAACAGCCAGGAGCCAGCGAGCGGACAGACAGTGCGTGGCCGCCGTGGGCACGAGACCCGGCCCCAGGGGGAACGAGGGCCCCGTTCACGCCGCTCCACGGGCGGGGCGAAGCCACACGCCCACGGCCACACCTGTGACTCCACTCGCACTATGTGCCCAGAAGAACCACACCCGGGACACTGCGGTCGCCAGGGGCCAGGCGGGGACTCGGGGAGGAGGTGTGCACGGGCTTCTCCATGGGGCGACGGAAATGCCGTGGCGCTGGCCGTGCACGCTGACAGGTGCGCCGTGTGGGGTGCGCACCGCGTCTCGACACAGATGTTCACGGGCAGGTCCCTTCTGTCCCCGCGGTTCCTGGGGTCCCACAGCTCTCCCCTGCAGTGCCCAGCCCCGCCTAACAGGCAGGCCCCGCGCCTGCTGGCGGGTCCCTCATGTGGTGCCACGCGAAGGCCTGGTGAGCCCAAGGCACCGGCCAGGAGGGTGACGTGCTGTCGGGGGTCCCAGGAGATGCCAGTGAAGGAGCCAGGCGCGATTTGCACTGGCCTGCCCCCTGCCCGGTGCCCCCTGCCCCGTGGCAAGTCTGGTCAGCTGGGGTGCCTCCCTGTGTGGTCACCTCGCCCAGCTTCCCTGGGCGGCTGGCTCTGCTCTGCCGCTTGCTGACACATTTAGCCTCGTCACCGTTCAACACAAACCATCTTTAAACAAAAATAAGAGAAACCACCCTGACCTTTCCCCAAAAGGGCTGTCCACGTCTAGATTTCTCCCCTAAATGTCAGGGAGCTGAGTCTCCTCAGCGTGGGGGGGAGGGGGCAGCGGGCTGACACAGGCTGGAGCAACACCCTGGGGCCCCCGCCAGGCCGCCTGCCCACGTGGGGGGAGGAGGGCTGACCCACAAACAGCCGAGCGCGGGGCGCCCCCCAGATGCCAGGCTGCGGGGCCCTAACTCGCCGCGAGAGCCAGGTGTCCGCAGTGGTCAGCGCCACAGCTGCTGCTCCGACAAACGGCTCCCCTCGAGTCTCACCGGCGGCGAACGTGGCCCTGGCCAGCCCTCCGCGGCTGCGGGGAAACGAGGCCACGGACACACGGGGGGAGGGGGGAGGGGGAGGGTGGCCACGGTGATCCCCACCCAACCCAAACGAGGGCAGCCAGTGTCTGCGGCCCGCTGCTCCCGGAGCCCCCAGCCGCGCTCCCCAGTGCATGGAGGGTCCGTGTCCTCGCTGTCAGGATGTGCCACTGTGCCGGGCCGGGCCATCCATCTCCACTCGGCACTCTGCCACATTCCAATGCCACCCGGGCCCCAGGTTCCTTGTAAATCACTCTAATTAGGGGCTGCTCACTTAAAAGCAGAGCACAATTTTTTAGAAAGCAAATTGCCCAGTGAGACGTGCTGGCTGTGGCCAGGAATGTCTGCGGCGTCTGCTTCCTCTGCCCCAGCGTGGGAGGTGACAAGCTGCGCTGTGGCCCGTAGGCGCCCTGTGGGAAGCAAGAGGCTCAGCCACGATGAAGATGCTCTGGCCTATCGGCCGGCTCTGCACGCTTCACACTCAGACCGCGGCCCGCTCGCCCCCAGGCCAGGGCACAGCAGTGGGGGTGGGGGCACTGTGGGTGGCGACAGCCCTGATTCAGGGCCTGACGGCGGCAGGCGCCCGTCCCACTCTGCTGCCTCCCACTGGAACAGTGGCTCGGCCTGGCCCCCTGGGGGCCACTAAACACCGTCTCTGCCCTCGGCCCCTCGCTGTCCCAACCACAGGGCGGCCCTGGGTCACCTTTCTTAGTCACGGTGCCCAGGGCCCAGTACGGCCACAAAGGGGAGGCCAGGCTGCCTGTCCCCCGGTGCTCCCCACTACAGGGGTGCTGGGACTCGTGCAAGATCTCCTGCCGAGGGTGCTGAAGAAACCCCATAAACGAAGAAGCAGATGCAGCAGGGGATGAACCCACTGAACGTTGTGGGCCCCGGTCCTAATCTGGACAAAATCCAAAGAACACAACAGAACCATCCGACGGTCAGGACCGCCAACGCTCCTATTTCGCGGCGCTGGGAGCTGCCCGCACAGCCTTTTTGGTGACGGTGGTTGTTAATGAGAACGTCCCTACCGCTCCAGGAGGTGGCTGACGCCAGGGCTGCGGGAGCCCGAGCACCTCCGGGTGCCCGAAGGGAAAAAGGTGATCAGGAGACAGGACGAGAGAACCGGAACTCGCCCGGAGAGAGGCGACCGGACACGTGAGGACTGAGCACTGCGCTTGCGACTGTGCCGCGGGCCAGAGGAGCCGAAGGTGCACGGGCGACGCAGCCCGTCAGAGTTGCAGGGTGCACGGGGCGGGGCCCGGGGCGCGCGCCACAGCGAGGGGCCCTTAAGTCGGGTCTGTGCTGCACCCCAAAAAACTGGAGGAGGAACAGCAACGAACCCGACGCGGGAGGAACCAGGGAGACTCTGAGATCAGGGCGCCGGAGAAGCCGAGGCTGGGCCTGGGGCCCCACGAGCGAGCGCGGAGCCGCCCAACTCGGCAAAACCGGGAAGGAGACAAATCAGCAACGCCGGAAACGGGACGGATCCCGAGGCTGTTAATGAAACGAAAACACGACAGAAAACCCCACGTTCACAAGTCTGACTTCTGAGAGGGCGTGGGCAAAGCCCCGAGGCTCCCGGATGCGGCCGAGGAAATGGAGCTCGTGACTGGAAAGCTCGAGAATGTTATCAAACACTTAAACGAAAATACCAACTCCACACAACCCCCAAAACCAGAAGAGGAAGTGTTCGGAACTCCCCCCAGCATTCACCCGACGCCCAAGTCGACGCGGTGCGGGCGCACGCGGGAGGGACACGCGGACCCGCGCC